ATAGATGCTCATATTTTATGGACATTAATTATTGACAGGAATGGTGAGCTAGTTAAGAAACTGTTGATCATGTTCTTGGAAGGTTAGATGAAAAACAATTATTTGTTCCTGATCACTCTGTGGGAGAAGAATCACAAGTTCATGAACTGAAAATTCAATGTCAGATAGAGAGATCACGAAATGTTTTTATATTTGGCCTCTGGGGAATGGGAGGAAGTGGTAAAACAACTCTCTCCAAAGTCGTTTACAATGAAATTGGTCATTACTTTGAAGGGAAAAATTTCCTCTCAAATATTAGAGAAGTTTCAAAGCAACATAATGGCCTAGTTTATTTACAACAACAACTCATTGCTGACATCATCAAGTCAAGTATTATGAAGTTACCAAACAGTGAAAGAGCAAAATTTTTAATACAGGAGAGACTCCCTCGTAGAAAGTCACTTATTGTATTGGATGACGTGGATAGTTTGAGCCAACTAATGGCATTATGTGGAAGTCGTGAACGGTTTTGCCCAGGGAGTGTAATAATCATTACCACTAGAGATGTGCATCTTCTTAAAGACCTCAAAGCTGACCAAGTATATAGAATGAAGGAAATGAATGAAAGTGAATCTCTTGAGCTTTTGAGTTGGCATGCCTTTAAACAACCAGCTCCTCCTGAAAATTTCATGGAACTTTCTAGAAATTTAGTTGTTTACAGTGGAGGACTTCCATTAGCTCTGGAAGTCCTTGGTTGTCATTTGTTTGAGAGAACAATTGAAGAATGGGAGTATGTGCTGTTCAAACTAAAATCCATTCCCAACGATGAGATACAAAGAAAGTTGAGAATAAGCTTTGATGGGTTAAAGGATTATATGGAACAGGACATATTCCCTGACATGTGTTTCTTCTTTATCAATAAGGACAGAGAATATGTCACACAAATATTAAATGGTTGTGGATTTCATGCAAAAATTGGGATACAAATACTTATAGAGCGGAGCCCCATAAGTGTTAGTAGGGATAACAAGCTTGAAATGCATGATTTAATACGGGATATGGGAAGAGAAATCATCCATGGAAGTCCACCAAAGTACCTTGAGGAACGCGGCAGATTATGCTTTCATGAAGAAGTGCTTCATGTGTTAACAGAACAAACTGTAGTAATTTTCTATGCAACTGTTTTGTTTGGCAAGTTCTAAAGTCAAGGGATGATTTTTTTCAATTTGGTGTAGTCTTCAAAGTAAGAAGTGTTGAAAATAGTTTGATAAACTGATCAGGGTTCAGGATGATGTTTCAACATTTTCTCAGTAGCTTTTGCTTTATGATTAAGTACCTTTCATAAACAATCAGCTAATATAATTGAGAAATTTTGATTCTTTCATGAATGATTCATGATTCATTCTTTCATGAATGGTAGATTTCGATTACCTTTTGGTTAAGGAACGTTCTGTTCAGAAATTTGTGTATAAAAGAATGCTTTCGGAAACTCACTTCAGCATAACAGTTTTTTGTGCAAATATACAACTCAATTCATTTCTCTAATTCAAAACTTCATTCTAGAAGGAGAGGGTTTCACTATTTCTTGTGTATTCCTCTCTTGGATGTTTTGGATAACTCCTACAAACAACTTCTTCTTAACCTTGCAGCATCAATAGAGGACAAATCCTGATTAAAGTACAGTATGGTTTGTACGCATTTGAAAGCCCTCTTCAATCTTCGTTGATCATTTGTCCATTTTGTGTACTTCATTACCATGCATTAAACCAAAAGAAAAGCATGTGCTTATCAAACAAGTTTGAGGCATATGCTTTTTCCTTCCCTCATTTTTCTTCTCCTATGTACTTGCAGGCAACAAAAGCTATTGAGGGCATAGCTCTGAAATTGCCAAGAACTGATAGCAAGACTTTGATTGAAGCCAAGGCATTTAAGGTGATGAAGAGACTCAGATTACTTCAACTAGATTATGTAAATCTTAATGGCGATTATAAGTATATTTCCAAAAACCTGAGGTGGCTTTTTTGGCATGGATTTCCATAAAAATGCACACCAGACAACTTTCATCAGGAAAATTTAGTTGGTAATGACCTCAAATACACCAGCCTCAAACTAGTTTGGAAGAAGCCCCCGGTGTATTATTGTGTGTGATTTTCTATGTTTTAAAGCAGTACATTATCGATGATAAAATTGTTGCCATATATTTTGTTTAATTTATCATATGAAACTTCATATTTTGCAGTTTCTGCGGTGGTTGAAAACACTCACTCTTAGCCATTCCTCCTTCTTAAGACAAACTCCTGATTTCAAGAAACTGCCAAACCTTGAAAAACTGATACTAAAAGATTGTCCAAGCTTGATTTCAGTTCACCAGAGCATTGGAGATCTAAAAAATCTTCTCCTGGTAAGTCTAAAGGACTGCAAGTGCCTTAGAGATCTCCCTAGAAGTATCTACAAGTTGAAATCTTTGAAAACTCTCATTCTTTCTAATTGTTCAATGATTGATCATTTAGAAGAAGATTTTGAGCAGATGGAATCCTTGACTACTCTAATGGCAGATAAAACTGCCATAACACAAATACCCAGGTCATTAGTAAGTTTGGAAGGGCTTAAGCATGGAAATGTATCCTTGTGTGGGTATGGAGAGCACAAGATATATTTCCTTCTCTCATATGGTCTTGGATGTCACCCACCAATATTCCCCAGTCCCGTAGTGAAGCATTTTTGCAGGGAATATCATCTCTGGTTTTCTCAGCTGTACAGAATGGTAGCTTCCACGGCCTATCTCCAGTTCTGGGCAATCTTGCGAGGCTTCGAGGTATGTGGGAGGAATGCAGACTAAAGTTTCAATTCAGTGGAAAAATGGCTAGACTTTTGGACGCCTTGTATGAGACAGCAAATTTTATGGAATTGGAATCAACTTCAGATACACCACAATTCTCACATATGGAAGCTTCTGCATCATCTGAGGGCCATGACCAAGTTCACATTGAAAGAGCAACAGATTCCTACAATTCTCTTTTAATTCAAATGGGATTGTGCGACAAATCAGACTTATTGAAAGAGAAAATTTTGCAGGTTTGTCCCTGTCTTTTCTCTACCCCATCATGTTTGAAAATGAGTTTTCTTTAGGACCCCATCATGGATGAAAAAGCTAGAGTTTTGTGATAAGTACTCCACATATGCACTGCTGCTTCTGGAGCGGCAAGTCTTATTAGTATGTTTCTTAAAAAAAAAAAAATGTAAATGACAATTAGCTCTCAAAAGATTGGATTAATAATAGTTAGATCTGATAAGTTTTTTTTCTAAAAAAATAAGTTAAAAATACGCATTTAGACAATTATAAATATAAAAGTTTTAATTATAAATGGGACATTTAAATGTAATTGTTATATTGTAAATGAGATTTTTGTTTGCAACGGTTTGAATTGACATTTTGCAACTCATATTTTTAAAACTTTTATCAGGAGCCTAATTATCATTATTTCAATCTTTTGGAATCAGTAATTGTCATTCTTCCTTCTTAAAATGAAGGACAGTTTTTTTTTTTTTTTTTGGTGTTATAAGTGGTTAAATACAAGTTCGTCATTCAAATGTTGATGCTATATATTGGGAAGGAATAATGGAAGGTGGGATGATTCTCACTTACCAGGCGATGAGTATCCTGATTGGTTCATTTACAAGGGCGAAGGACGCTCAGTACTTTTCAAGGCACCTCAGGTTATGGGTTGCTGCTTAAAAGCAGTGGTTCTCAACATTGTGTTTGTTTCATGCATTGGTGAGACGACTCAATTTCTCATAAATGTTCTGATCATTAACTACACGAAGGCTACTGTTCAACATCACAATGGAGACTCAACAACTTTCCATGAAGATGCAGAATGGCAAAGTATCATTTCAAGTATTCAACCTCATGATCTCGTGGAGCTTGTTTTATGCATTGGGTCTCAATTTACTGTGAAGAAGTTTGCAGCATACCTGGCCTATGACGGTTCTAAGCGTCGCAGGTTACTGAATTAGTTGTTGGGAAAACTGATTTCGGTTTGTAATAAAAGCATCAGCACTTCTGATTTAGTTGCAACTCTCAAAAAGGTAAAACGACAATTATGGACCTTTTTAAGAAGGACCCCAAAATTTAAACATGCCAATTAAGAATCAAAGTCTTTCGTTGATATAAGATATAAAGATAATGTATGGACCATGTTGCCCTTGCTGATTTAAACGATGGAAGCTAAGGAAGAGCTTTATATATAAATTGAAGATCGTGGAAACTCCATTGGGGGAAATTTTATTTATGCATGATCATAAAAATCTTAGCTGGAAGAGTTTTCAATTAAGCACTTTTGACATATTGATTCTTGACTTTCAATAGTGAGACTCTACATGCATGATAGAAATCATAGAAGCTCAACTGGTACACATTTCAACCATATTTTTTCAACCCAGCAAGGGAAATTTGGTTCATAGAACTTCCCTAATCAATAAAGGACCTTGGCTTTTAATTGGCATTTTCAGGTTTTAGGGTCTTTAACTCTCATTATCTTGTCAAAATTGACCCCAACTGTCATTTTCCCTTTTAAAATCTGTCTTGATATGTCGGACAATGTTGTGTATTTGTGTCTAAAGATTGTTGAATGGGTGCATTGGGCTTCCAAAGATTGTTGTTTTTAAGATATCCTTTGATAAGAGCTTTCCATTCCTACAATGTTATCTGAAGATAAACTCTCTTCATACGATGTGCATGCTAAGTCCATATTTTTTAATTTTCAGAGAAACCAATTTGAAGTCTTTCTTTTCACCAATACATGGATAATAGAAACAAAGTGTAAGAAGGAAGTCATTCTTTAAGAAAAATCAGCTTTCTAAAACTGCATGTGATAATCCATAAAACTCAAGAAACACGTTTCTGAGCAAGACTTGTCATCTTCAAAACATATTTTCCAGAAACCACAGGGGAATAGATACCTTGCTCGCACCACAAATTCCTAATATATTTCAATTTAAATGTAATTTCTCATGCTGGCTTATTAAACAGCTTCATAGAATAACAATCACAAATGAGAGTCCGATTGATTCTGTGGGTACAGTGTGAGGACAAAGGATCTCATGCAGTACATTCATTAAGATACAAAGAATTTTGATTGCTGTCGGGGAACAAAAAAAAGACAACTAATTCCCTAAGCTCAATCATAACTGAGAACATAGTTTTCACTATCTCTGAAATTCAACAAGCATACAAAGAAAATACAATTGTGGAGATAAGAAATTCAACTACTCGATTTCTGCTTATAAAACTCATTTCTGCCTAAAGATGCCAGTTGAGAATGTCATAGTTAACCAGATCACTGTTGAAGCTCTGATGGATGAAAGAATCAGGTAGCTGATGGCTTCATTTCTGGGGGACCCTGTCAAGAAGATAAAAGAATAATGATAGCATCTTTATTTAGTAATACAAAGAAACCGAAATTTATATTCAAAGATTATAATGAAACAAGTAAAATTCCATTTGGCCCTCCCAGGATAGCTAACTTCAAGGACTTCTTGTTTGACTCCACTACTCCTAAAGGTTGACTTTATTTTAATATTTGTTCTACAAAAATTTGCATAGAACTCTGAAGGGAAAAAATTAAAACAAACATATCAAACCCAGGAATGGCTAATATGTAAAAGGATTACGACGAGGGAATGCCTGACCCCAAGCCACCCATCAACAATCTGACAGCTGACAACTGACAAACATGGAAAGATACAAATAGATACGCATAGGGTTGGTTTTTTGATCGATCACAAAGGCAGCCATAGGTTTTATCAAATTACTGCTGTTCTATTTGTTTCTTTCGTTCAAACATAAATGTAGATCACAGTATGAGTTTATGTACATTAATCAAAGAGTATCCCAATATCCTTCAGCAGGTAAAATAAAACATTGAAGTAAAAGTCTCACTACTCATCATAATCCTTCTTGGTAAATTATTCTCTTTATTCTATGATGTCTCTGCTCATGAAATGTTATGCGTGCAAGGTTTAGTTGTTGTATGCATTGGTGTGTCCAAGCCAGCCAAAGTATTCCACCTCAATAGTTTAGGGCTGGTGTGTCTTCCAAAATGATAGATGGCACACCTATTTCTTTAGTGTAACTGAATTTTGTACTATTTTAACTTTACAGAAGAAATTCAGATTGGTTTTGTTCGTAAATAGTGAGGACTTAGGATCACATGCAATAAATCCATTATTACAAGACTAATTTTCATTGCCAGGAAAGAAAAGGTGACAAATAATTCTGTAGCTCATTCCTAACTGAAAACACTGCTTCAATTATTCCAGAAATTTAACATACATAAAACAGAAGATATCATAGTCAAGTTAAAACAATCAAATATTAGGCAAGAATGGGAATCATATACCAACAATGTTGCTATTGCGGCTTTGATGGCGTTGGGGAGGATGGTGGCTTCATATCTGGGTACTGTCAAGAACATAAAAACAATCATGAAAAAGTCCCTATTTAGTTGTGGGATTGAAGCATGAAATTCTGGAGATTAAATAAAACTATTCATAGGCCTTCACGTAACTACTTGAGTTTGTGAGTCTAATGGGACTTTCACTAAAAATGTAAGAGATATAATAAAATTATTCAAGAACATTTACTTAGCAGTTCAATCTTTTTAATGCAAATGGTCCTTGACATGATATGATGCAAGAAAAGAAGTGCATACATTATCCATAAACAAAGAGGGTTGGTGTCTTTGCGTAGTTATAATATTACCACAAACAGAGGTAGAATGGTCATTCTTACCCACGCCATCATTGAGTACCTAAATCATAGGGCAATTTATTAGAGACCTTTGCTTCTCAATAGGCCTCACCATTAGATGGATCTTGAGACTTTCAGATTGTTCTAATCAATAAAGTAATATTACATACATTATATTATGAATGAGAGAGATAGAGAGAGATTAACATTTTGAAAGGGAGTGCTTTCCAGAGAATCACCCTAATATTATATACCATGTCATCCTAAACTATTTTTCTCCCTATTTCTTAAACAGTGTGATTTAGAACACCAGTAAAGTAACATGCCACGGTATACAAGTGTGAGCCCAACTATGGTCCTATTGAAATGCTAACTTTCGTGCTCCCACATATTTGCTCATTGATTACAATGAGGAAGGAGTTGAGCCTTTCACCAATGAACAAACAGAATATTATTAAATCTTACAAGGACATGCTTTTTGTTTCTTGCTAAAATATCCAAAAATGATTGACAGTACTTAAATGAATGGTAACTGGGGAGAAAAAATATAGTTTCAGTGAACGTACATTCGGGTAGGGAGAGGAGGAAGCTTTAGAATCAATTTTAACATCTGGAAAGGATTCTGCTGACTTTCTCACCCGTCCACTGTCCAACTTTTGATCTACAGATTTGGGGACATCTGGCAATATAGTGTTGCCGTTATCTTTATTTTGCTGAATGGCCCCATTGGCACCAAGTTGTTCTGAAGCATTTTTCTTTTTCCTTGGGTAAATATGCACAGAAGGAGGTAAAAGGTTATCCTGTATTTCCTGCAAATATAGAGGCATAAAATTCATTCCTCTAAACCATCCTTCCAACAGACTTTCCACAACCTGAAACCTTGATTCTAAGGTAATAATCAAATCAAAGGGTGGGAACTGAATTATCATAACTTAATAATGAATCCCCAATTTAGGATTTTTCGAATTCAACAGAGTATTAAATAGATGCCAAAGTAAAGGTTGAAGAATTTGATTATTTGCCAACATATATCAAATTTCTTATAAATTTTCCGTGGTAAAGAACATCAGCCAGAATTGGGCCAAAAGAAAACACATACCATCCACCCTTGCTCGCCTCTAACTCCACCTCTAATTGCATAGGCCTCCTTGAAACCATTCTTAAATAGCAACTCAGCTACTCGCATGGATTTACCATCAAAACTACCTTACACACAAAAAACGAAGCAGCTAGTGAACTTTGTAATTGTGTATAGCATTTAGTAAAAGAAAATGAAATTCTGTTCGTCTACAATGCAATTTCTATCCACCTTATGACAGACTTATTTATATAAACTAAATATTTCAATCTTCTGTAAAAATCATGAAGTGAAGAAGTCAACAGTGTAATCAGATGATGAAATATGACACATCAAATTAAGACATTTTGTAGGTCAAAATAAATTAGCTTGCCTCACAAACAAGAAAAAACTGCGCAGAGAAGGCCCCTAGGCTCTTTACATGTCACAGGACCAAAGATTGAAGCAATTATCCAATCAGTCCTTTGCAAGAGCAAAAAACTGAAAATGCATCACGTACATTCTTCCACGTCCCATAATATGATTATTTGTCCGATAGTTTAAAATTTTAACGGTCAAATAAATTATGCATATCAAATTTCTAACATAATTTTTTACTTGACCTTCATAGAGGTCCAAAAGTAAAACCGTCAGAAACAACTCTGCATTTGCCCAATTAAACAATTTGATCAGACAATTTTTTTTATTATGGCACAAACTATAATTTTCATTTTGCCCTTTTGGTTTCCAAAAATCTGTCTTTTAAACCTAAAGAACACAAGATTCAGAATCTTTTTTCACCATAGGAGAATATATTGCTTTGAAATTCTATATTTTGTTTCGCTTACTTCTCCAGAATACAAAGGACTGTATTTGGCGCATCGTTGAAGCTTTCCAATACCTTCTTGATAAACCCCTCTTCGTCTCCTTCTGAAAACTCAACCTGCACTACTTCCTTATTCAAAATTTTCAAATTGGGAGATCTCAGGAACTTCAAATTCTTTCCATCTCTTATGTCCAAGAGCTGAGAATTAGGGTCATCTCGGAGCTTCCGGTATGCATCTATGGCAGATATGAACTTGTATTTTCTGAAATACTCTTGAGTCAGAGGTATAACAACGAGCCAAATGAAAGTACACCCAGCAACGAAAAAAGGGTATCTGTTGAAAAAGTTATCAATCGAAACTACAATCGATTCCAGGCTGATTTTTCCCAATGCTGGCTCGGCCACAGATTCAGAGGCAAGGCACGGAAAAGTAGCTAAGAGGTCAATTAAAGCGAAAGAGAAGCAGTTGGCTAAATTTTGAAGAGAACTCTGAGAATGGGTTTGGAGCGAAATAGGAATGTTCTTAGTGGGATATGAACGTTGGAATGAAGTATCAGGTGGTTTGGGGTTTGAGAGAAGATTGAAGGGTTTGAATTCAGACGGATTTTTCTGGGTTTTGGAGTGCTTTTTGGAGAGTGGAAAAGAAGGGAGAAGTATAGAAAGCGAATCCATGAAGATGTGAGAAATGAAGAGAGCGACAGAGAAAGGATAAAGAAATCACTCTTTCACCCGTGCCGTTTAATCCAGAAGGAACCATTTTGTAGTGCTGTTAACCGTTGTTGTCGTCCGAGGACCGAGTATCATATTGTCTTCAATTATTTTTTTACATTTTTGTTACAGGCATGAATCCATTATCAACTGATTTGAGAATTCGACCTAAAAGTAATTTGATATTAGAAATATTTTCAGATGATTTATTATTTATTATTATATAAAAATAAACACTTTTTCTATTTTTTTTTTGGGGTAGAAACATTTTTCATATTTTATTTGAACAAAATTTCATTTTAATCCCTTCTTAATAATAGTTTTTGTTTAATTCATCCCTCAGATATTATGATTTTCAAAATAATCTATTATCAATTAGATTAATTTACAATTTGGTCGCTATATTTTTCATGCTATAACCTGAATCACAAACACTTGAAAATCCAGCAAGAAATCCCAAATTTCAGAAAACAAACAAGCAATATATATATATATATATATATATTATATATATATACATATTTGCCATCAAACAAGCAAGCGAAAAATTTATTCAGATGAAACCAAAGTAAAAAATATATCATATCATGAAAATGTAATTCATTGATTGTTATGAATATTAAAAGGATAGCGAAACTCCGTCTTCATATTCTTCCATGAAACTCTCCCAATCATGAGAGTTAATTACTCTTTATTTGCCTCTATCATTTGTGTAACCTTTTATGTGTAAGATTATGCCTATAAATAGGGCATATAATTTGTATTGAAGGACACAATAATCTATAAGAAATTATCTCATTTTCTTGTCTCTACTTCTTTTCCCAATATCTTTATTTTTTAGTTACTTAATTTTATAACACATTATCAACACGAGAACTCTGGTAATCTATAAAAAAAATGATGAATCTCGTCCAACAAGTTCTACCCCATTTCCAAAAGTGAATGTAGTGCCAAATGAATCAGCTCGAGCTCAGGATTTTGGCTATGGTCATGGCCATAGTCGTGGACGTGGACATGGCCATGGTAGTACATCTTTTCACCAAAAGTAGATAAATAATGAAGAGAAAATGAGAAAGAAACAAGTGGGGATGATGATGACAACGACGATGACGACAATAATATAGAAAATTTGTATTAACATTGTGGTTGTAAAGGTCATTTGGTCACGTACTTTTCGTACTTCAAAACATTTGACTAATCTTTACTAAGATTCGCTTAAAAGTAAAAGTAAAAACAAAAAGGTGAAGATAAAGACACATTTTATTTCTGAAGAAGGCGATTTTGATTATGGCGACATGAACGTTATCTATTTGAATGTTGTTGATTTCTTTGCCAATCCTAAAGGAAGAATTGATCACCTAATTGGGGATGAAAATGTCCAGAGGTAAATTTTTTAAATCTTGATATTGTTAAATTTTATAGTTAAGTATCATTTTAATTTTGTTGCATTGGAATAAAGAATTTACTTATAATGTTATTTTTTTTAGAGAATTTACTTATGATGTTTTTTTCAATGAATAAAGTTTTCTTGTGCCATGTTTTAATTATATATTTTTATGTTTTTTTAATGAAGAATGAGTATTCATTTGATTGGTACTAACGACAATAATAGAAATATGTGTCTCGTTGATAGTGCAACAACTCATACAAAATTTAAAAATAGAAAATATTTTTCTCCTTTGGTAATGTAAGAAGTTAATGTTTAAACTATACCCAAAAGTATAAAGATGATGGATGGCTTTGGTAGAGCTAATATATTATTGTTTGGAGGAACAAAATTACACATTGATCGTGCATTTTATTCTACTAAGTCCAAAAAAATTATTAAGTTTCAAGGATATCCACAGAAATGGATACCATATTGAGAAATAAATGAAGAAAATATAGAATATATTAATATCACAAATTTAATTTTTGGTAAAAAATGGACACTAGAAAAATTACCTGCCTTTTACATTAGCTTGTATTATACATTTATAAATACAATTGAAACACATGCTATTGTAAACTAGAAGTTTACAAATGGTAATAAACTCAATATTTGACATAATCAGCTAGGCCATGCCAGGTCAATTATAATGCAAAAGATAATTGAAAAATCATATAGACATTCATTGAAAGGTCAACATATTCCACAATTCTATAATTTCTCATGTGCTACATGTTTTAAAGGAAAGTTAGTTATTTGATCATCACCAGCAAAAATAGAAAATGATTCTTTCATATTTCTAGAACGCATACAAGGTAATATTTGTGGACCTATACACCCATCATGCAAACCATTTAAGTACTTTATGGTTTTAATTGATGCATCGACAAAATAATTGCGTGTTTGCTTATTATCTTCTGTTAACCTAACATTTCCAAAATTGTTTGCTCAACTTATTAGATTAAGAGCACATCCTATTCAAAAAATACGTCTAGGTAATGTTGGTGAATTTACTTTACAAGCTTTTAATGAATATCGCATGTCTCTTGGAATTGATATTGAACATCCTATAGCACACGTTCATACACAAAATAGACTTGCAGAATCATTAATCAAATGCTTACAATTGATTACACAACCATTATTTATGCGGTCGAATCTCTCAATTTCTACTTAGGGACATGCAATTTTACATGTAGCATCATTAATTCATATCAGGCCAACAAGTTATCCTAAGAGCTCTCCTTTAGAATTGATTTTTGGTTAGGAACCTAATATTTTCCATCTAAGAATTTTTTGATGTGCAGTATATATTCTGATTACTCCATCACAACATACTAAGATAGGTCCTCAAAAAAGAATGAGAATATATGAATCTCCATCTATAATTAAATATTTAAAACCATCAATAGGAGATTTATTTTATAGCTAGATTTACTGATTATCATTTTGATTAATTAGTTTTCCCAACATTAGGAGAGAAAATAAGCAGTTGGAAAAAGAAATTAGTTGAGATGAATTATCATTATCTCATCTTCATCCCCATACAAAGCAATGTGAACTAGAAGTTCAAAAGATAATTTATTTATAAAATTTAGCAAATTAATTGACAAATGCATTTATTGACCAAAGAAAATAACTAAATCACATATTCTAACTACTAATGCTCTAATTAGAATTGATGTCCCTGTTGGATAGCCTTTATTGCAAATGATTCTAAAGAATGCATAAAATGTGGAAGGCCTATTGGTTTTAAAGATAAAAGTCCTTGAAAAAAAAGGGGTTAGAAACACAGATGGTTAGATTGAGGAAATCAAGAAAAGTTAGTAACTCACGAAGAGTCATTAACACTACTAATATTTTAATTCTAGAAGAAGTTTAGGTAGTTGCAATGTGTGAAAATAATGAGATCTCAATAAATTATGTTATAAATGAAATACAATGGAATCGAAATGATGTTAACATCAACGATATTTTTGCATATAATGTAACGCTTGATGTAATAAATGATAATGAAAATCGCGAACCAAAATACACTAAGGAATGCAAACAAAGAGAGGATTGGCCAAAATGGAAAGACACAATTGAGGCAGAATTAAAATCACTTGAAAAGCGAAATGTTTTTAGATTTATAGTCTATACACCCGAAGGTATTAAGTCGGTTAGATATAAATGGGTTTTTGTGCGAGAAAGAAATGAAAATAATGAAATTGTAAGATATAAGATACGGCTTGTGACTTAAGGATTTACACAAAGGCTTGGAATTGATGTTGTTAAAACATACTCACCAATAGTAGATGTAACTACTTTTTGATATTTAATTAGCCTAGCAATAAGTGAAGTACTCAATTTGCATCTAATGAATGTTATTACAACTTATTTGTATGGTTCACTCGATAGTGACATTTACATGAAACTCTCTAAATGATTCAAATTGCTAAAAGCATACAATTCAAGTTCTCACAAAAATTATTTAATTAAGTTAAATAAATCCTTATATGGATTGAAATAATCAAGATATATGTAGTATAACTAACTTAGTGAATATCTGTTGAAAGAATAATATAAAAATGATCCAATTTGCCCTTGTAATTTTATGAAAAGATTTGAAAAAGAGTTTGCTATAATTACTATTTATGTTGATGACATAAATATTATTGAAACACCTAAAGAGCTTTCAAAGTTATAAATTGCTTAAAGAAAGAATTTGAAATAAAAGATTTTGGAAGAACAAAATTTTGCCTTGAATTACAAATGAAATATATGAATAATGCAATTTTTCTATATCAAGAAACGTATACAAGAAAGGTCTTAAAACATTGTTATGTGGATAAATTACATCTATGATGTGTCCCAATGATTGTAAGATCATTGAAGATAGATAAAAATCCTTTTAGACCTTAAAAATGTGACGAAAAACTTCTCGATCCAGAAACACCATATCTTAGTGCAATCGGAGCACTAATGTATCTTATTAGTCACATGCGACTTGATATCTCATTTGCTATTAACTTATTAACGAGATATAATTCTTCACTAACACAAAAGAACAGGAATGGTGTTAAGCGCATTTTTCGTTATCTTAAGGGTATTATGGATATGTGATTATTTTATTCCAAAGTACCTAAAGTTGACGTTATTGGTTATGTAGATGTTGGATTTTTGTTTAAGCCTTATGTTGGTAGATTACATACAAGCTATTTGTTCACATGTGGTGGTATAACCATTTCATGATGATTTATGAAACAAACAACATTAGCCACATCATCTAATCTTGCATAAATTCTAGCTGTATATGAAGGAAGTCAAGAATGTATGTAGTTAAATCATTAATTCATCACATTCGAACTACTTATGGTTTGTCTTTTAACAAAATGATTCTGACAATCATATATGAAGATAATACTGCTTATATTACTCAATTGAAAGAAGGGTACATTAAAGGAGATAGAATGAAATATATTTCACCAATTTTTTTTCACTCACAATCTTCAAAAGAATGATAAAATTAATATCCAGCAAATTCGTTCAAAAGAAAATCTAGCTAATATGTGCACTAAGTCACTTCTTGCTAAAATATTTGAAAAGTTTATTCATGATATTGGATTTCGCAGACTTAGAGATATCAATTGATGTTGTCAAAATGGGAGTTAATACGCATTGTACTCTTTTTTCCTTGTCTAAGTTTTTTTTATTAGGTTTTCCTAATAAGGTTTTTAATGAGACAGTATTAAATAGCATATAAATGAATGATGTACTTTTTTTTTTTACTAGGTTTTTCTTAATTGAAGTTTTTAATAAGGTACATTCTTATATAATGAACATTCAAGGGGAGTATTATGAATATTAAAAGGATAGGGAATGCCCATCTTCATCACCTTTTCATCTTCATTTTCTCCCATGAAACTCTTATCATCATGAAAGTTGATTATCCTTTATTTATCTTTATCATTTGTGTAACCTTTAATATGTAAGATCATATTTATAAATATAGCATGCAATTTATATTGAAGGACACAATAATTTATAAGAAATTTTCTCATTCTCTTGTCTTTACTTTTTCTCCTAATATCTTTGTTTTGTAGCTGCTTAATTTTTTAACATTAATAAATAAATTTTAAAATTTAATTAGTACTAATTAATAATACTATAATATTAAAATTAAAATATTGATTAATTTTTTTTTCCAATAAAATTTTAATTATTATTACAATTACAAAATAAAAATATTACATTAAAAATTGAGGGGACAGGGGATCCAGCAGAATTACGGGGTGAATATTCATGTGCCATGAAATCCATCCTTCCACAGAAAAAAGTCAGAAATATCAAAACCCTAGTTAGCCCCTTAAAGCGGCTTCGACACCATAGCCTCCAAATCCCCTGAGCATAGAGTATTGGTCGGACTTCAACTGAATCAGCTATCACCTACTTCATTCCCTTGCTCTGAAGTCTGAAGACCGGGCAGCGTCCGCCTTGTCCTCTTTTCGTTCTTCGTGAACGTTCTGTCAGGTGGCGGCTTATTTCTTATAGTATCTTCCCCAGCAGGCCTGGGTTGTGTACAGCTCGGCGTCCTACCTTTCGACAAGCACCGTTTGCTGACGTCGTGGGGTATGATTTTTTAAGTGTTTCTTTTCCCAAAATTTTTTCCTTTCCGTACTGGGCACCCAACGATTTCAGGTCTCCGGATGTCGGAAAATGCTGAGTTTTCTGAACTTGTTTTTAAACACTCCACTTGGATGCTTTTCTCGTCTGTCTTATGTATAGTTATTTATCCACTTTGAGCTTACCTGGTGCTGAGTATCTGCTGATCCTTTAATCTCAAACTGACCCTCAGCCACTTCTTCTTTGCAACTTAGAGTTTTTCATGTTTGGGGTTAAAATGCATACAGTTTTTTTCCCTGGGGGTAGCAAGAGAAAAAGAAAATGGCTTAGTACTGTATTACGCAGCAGATTGAGGTGGGGAGTACAATATAGTTTTTTCTTATATGGAAGAAAGAAATCCAATTTTTATAGTTTCCAGACATTTCAATTGCTTTCCACCTCATTCATATTGCAGCCTTGTTTTCTCTTTTCACTTCTCAAATGACTTGCACCATATTCTGTCATGTCAGGAGACCACATTGGTGGAGTGTGGATTATAAATCACCCTTCTCTTATGAGGTACCTTTTAGGGGGCGAGTTCTATCCAGAGGGCTTGTGGTCGTGACATTGGTGCTCTCGTTAAGAGTTGCCATTCGCGGAAAGGACTGCCCATGGAGGGGCCGACTAGTTGAAGGCCGAATGAAGCGCCGTGGAGCGTGAGCCGTCGCGGACGCCAGCTTTTGAGGGGTGGGCTATGTCATGAGTCCCATATCAGGAGGCCACATTGGTAGAGGGTGGTTTATAAGTCAACCGGGCACCCTCCTCTTGCGAGGCGCCTTTTGGAGGTGAGTTCTATTCAGAGGGCTTGTGGTCGTGACATTGAAAATTTCAAAAGACTAGCTTGTTGGGTGGGAGAGTCCCTTACACTTATAAACCCCACACCACTTATGAGGCTCCCTGATGTGGGATTTGTGACAATGCCACCCCGTTAAGAGCTGACATTCCCAGCGGCTTTACTCTACGGCGCTTCACTCGGCCTTTGACTGGTCAGAACCCTTGGTGGGTAGCCTTTTCCGTGACATCAGCCTCTCAATGAAAGCATTAATATAACGAGCACAAGTTCAAAAGGAGAGTCCATTCCAAAAGACTAACTTGTTGGTTGGGAGAACCCTTCACTCTTATAAATTCCACACTACTTGTTAGGCTCCCCAATGTGGGACTCGTGACATATTCCCAACTTGCAGTCTAAATCTATGATTCATTCTTGTTGCGATTCCTTCATTTTTCTTTCTTTTTTTCTTTCTTGTTTTGCTAAAGATTTCACAGTTTTGGAAGGCTATTGTTGGGCAAAGAGTAGCTTCGCTTCTGCTCCACAAAACAGGAGTAGTAGCAATGGAGGGGTTGAAGGTGTCAGATGCTAATCTAGTCGTATATGTTCATCCTTCAAAAAGTAAAAAAGTTCCCCAAGCAGTTCTCAATGAGCTCAGCACTTTGCTTTTCACGTAAGTTATTGCACCTTCCTTTGATTTTATATTTTAGTACGATTTATGATTGCAATTATGGTTTTTGTTATGTTTAAAGGACATGATTTTTGATGAAGTTTTAGCTGTTATTATCTTTTTATTGGGTTAGAAAGAGATTTATGGCAATTTTGGGTGCTGGCTTTTTTAGCTCTGTTTTATCATTTCCCTGTGAGAGAAGTCCCACAAATTGTGAGATTTATGTTATATAGGTTTTATTTTACATATTTGAAAATTGAAAAAAATGACGATCATAGAATTGCCAAACTCTCTGCATGTTGAATATGTGCACATGCACATACACATGCGTGCATGTGTGTTGTGTGTCACATAGTGGTAGCCATAAGTTTACTTTTGAGTTTAAATTTCATTTTCAAGTATCATGAAATTTTTGTGGTTTAAGCATGCCAATGTGCTTACGTTAGTACGTTACTTGTTTTAAGATGTGATGGAGAATTATATTCCTCCCCACATACTCACTCCTGTTTATAATGCTGTTTTGGTTGTGCTGTCCTTGCAGGTTCAGTGAAATCTTTGATGGGGTTGTGTTAGCCTATGATATCAACCTCCTTGATAAATGTGCAAAAATTCTTTCTGGAGTTCATCCTTATTTTGGGGTTAAACTAAATGCGAAATTGTTACTTTTTTCTCCAAAGCCGGATATGCTTTTAGGTAATTCACTTATTGTGATTTAAGAGTCATGGATGTTAGTATTTTGTAGTTACTTGGTTATATCAGACTAATATTCTGCATGTTTTTCTGTTTTATAGATTTATCTATTGTTTTCTTAATTTTCCAGGGTTTATTCACATCCCCAAGTGTTTTTAGGACCTCCTGTGTATTCTTTGCTAATTTGTCAATTGATTGTTGCTTTCAGAAGGGAAGGTGGTTAAGCTTACACAAGAATCTATTCATGCCATTGTGCTCGGCTTTTCTTCTGCAATAATTGTTGACAAAGACATTAGGGAAGAGTTCTCATACAAAATTGTGAGTAACCTCAACCTGATATTCAATAGTATCTATCTACATCTTCCTCCTCCTTAAAATCATGATTGTTATTTTAGTATTTATAATTAATGTTGTCTACATGCTGTGTATTTTTCTAATAGAAACGTGGACAAGGTAGATATACAAGCAGATTGCGTAAGCGGCATGTGATAAAGGTTGGAACCATGATACGCTTTCAAGTCAAGAGGTGATAGTGCTGATGCCGCTTAAAATAAGATTACGTGTTCAATGCATTTCTATGTTGCATCAGAATTCAATTCAATGAAGTGAGTTGACCTCACTGTAAGATCTAAAAAGTAGACTGAAATGTGCATTTCAAATAATTGTTTAGAATTATGTATTTTCAGATGGTCTGTCAAATACTTCATGAAACCTTGGTCACTCCTTTGTTGATTAGCAACTAGGAAGAATTTGGTTTCATACATCTCCAATACATCTCCAATTTTTTCTCATGGAGGTCTCCTTGAAGATGCTTTCCATTGTGAAAAGACAGAGTATTGCCTCATTTAAGCTTATTGATTTGATATATCTGCTGCTATTGCAACTTCGTTAATATTTGCTATTGTTAATTATATTTGTTCTCTAGCTTCTTGAATTTTAATTAGATCAGACATATGCTTATGTATGTTTTAAGCGTGTCAAAGTTTCATCTGGCAAGTTATTCATCACAGTATTCACACCAATGATTTATCTCTGCAGCTTTGATGAGGAAATACTTCATGTTTTTGGATCCCTGAAGCCAGATACCACTGGCAGCATTCATTGGTTAGACAAGAACTTGGAAGATGTTTCCCAAAGTGACAGGTTCTTTACTTTTAACATATTTTTAGACTAATACTAATATTATTGGCATAGAAGATATTTTGTGCGTAACTCTAGCATAATCTGTGCAGAAGTGCAAAGAAGAGAGAAAATGGGGGAGAATCACTAATCCCAGAGCAAAATGCTATGGTTGAGGAACCAATTTCCTTGGACAATGCACACGTGAAAAGGCCAAAGAAACAAAGAATTAAAGAGGAATCATGGAGTTGAAAGTAGCTCTGGAATCCTATTCTGTATGTATTTTGTTTTCCCAGGTAACTTCGCTACTTTCATAAAGAATCTACACGCTTGAAATTCTGCAGCAGCAGGACTTCAAAAAACCATCTTGTCTAACTTGATTGTTTTGGACACGTGCCAGACTGCTTTACCAAGAAATGATAATTTATTGTGTTTTAAACTTAATTTCTAGAGTTGAACTCTTTATGTATGTTTAAACACATGGCAGACCTATAAAGAAATACATAATTTTACATCCTAGTGTCTTGTGTTTGATTATGTGATTGCTGTGTCTTTTCTGCAGGGCTTTCACATTATTTTGCAGCTTGACCACTGTCTAGTGCCCTAGAAGTAGCAGCTTCATGAGCCACTGATAAACATGAAAAGTGGAGAGGAAGAGTCCAAGAAATCTCAACACTGCCTTGGGTTAGTTTTGCTATTATACGTCGACAGATTTATTGACAAGCATGAAAACTCAAATTTGTTGAGCCTTGTAATCCGTGTTCGGCATCAATTTGTACCTCAAGATTATGTATCCTGTTGACTGCTGCCATTTCATTTATTTACATGTGTATCCCGAAATGGCTCCAACATCTTACTTATGCTTTCTTGATTCAAATCATTCTGGATTATCACTCACAGCTAGAATAATAACAACGCATGGTGGTGGCCAGTCTCATTGATGATACAGTGTGAATCTGATGTCAGGGATATTGTAGCCATTTTTTATGGAATATCCACATGGCACATACGAAGAAAAATAAAGCATGTTTTCCCAATGGGATACTTTTGGTCTTTGAATTTATGATTCTCGAGGTTGTTGGTGATATGTGCATGGCCATGTAAATCACAGCACAGTTCTGAATCAGTGATCATTTTGAGAAACTTCAATCTGTTTTGATTGTACGATCTGTGAAGCCATGACATGATGCATACAACTAGCTCAGACAGTAATAATGTGTCATCTTGATCAATTAGCAGGTAGAGTCATTACAAGTCTCTGTTCGAGCCCCTCAAAATTTGTCGCAACGAGCTAGCAAGAGTTGTATTATAAGGACGAGGGGTGTTTGGTTCAAACCTTGCTCCTGATCCTTCGTTGTTTGGGCTTTGCTGCTTGCGGTTTACCTTGTCCGAGGTTAAAAGTTAGAACACTCAATTTTGCAAATTATTTTTAATCATAAAATAAAGGATGGCAACATCTCTGTATGACCCCTGCCATTATTATTTTTGGAGAGGGTTCTAAAGTGAGTACGAAACTGATTCGCGTGTGATCTTGACAAGAATTTGGCTCTGCGATGCATATTTACCATAGATATATATCCATGATTTTTACTTGTAAATGATCATACGAATTTTTTACTTGTTAATTGGAGGATTTTTTTTTTTTTATTTCACCACTTGATGTTTTGAGAAGTCTCTGGTTCATTTTTTGTTTAGACGAATCTGAAATTTTGCTGTACAAGAATGTTATTATCAACAGTGGCTTTATAAGTTTGACATATTTATTTAATGCGGCTGTATATATTAGGACTTAAACTTGAAATTTTAAAATAAGTTGACATTTATTTAATGTGGTTGTATATATTAGGACTTAAACTGAAAATCTTAAAATAAGTTGATTCAACTTTATTCACTAGTTGAACAAGTGTCTCTCAATTAATTTGGAAGATCCAAATTGGTTCAATATATACATATGTGCATGTATGAAAGAATTGTTTTTATATAGATTGGTTGGATGACCAAATTTAATTTTTAATTGATACATTTAATTCAATTTGACACTAAAAGAAAACGATAAATCTCGTCCGATTGTCTTGAAAGTCATTTTTGGGGCCAAAGTGGGACAGAATGACGCTAAGGTTAATAATATAATAAAATTTAGGAAAACAAATTAGTTATTTGATTTTCATAGTTTTAATTCAATTGTAATTCAATCTTTAAACTTTAACTAGATATAATTTATTCTTTAAATTTTAATTTAATTCTTAAACATTAACTCAGTATAATTCAATTTTTATAGTTTTAACAATTTAGAATATTAATTTTTAGATTTTAAGAAATAACTTTATTCCTTATAATTTGATTTTCTAAAATATAATGCCGACATTTTAAATGGTTAAAAACTACAGAAGTTGAGATACACAGAATTAAAATTTAGGCACTAAGTTAATGGAGTCAAAACTATAATACCATGATGATGTGGTTACTAACATTTGCCCTTCATCTGGTTTTCTACATTTTAAATATCTTCCTACTTTTTGGGGGCAGCCTATTTCGAGCATTAGGCAATTAAAAAACAGTGTATTGCCAAAAAAAAAAAAAGTGGTCCAAGGAGCTAGGCTTACTAGACATTATGGGACAGAAGAGCAGCGACTTGTTGTGCTTATTTGGCAACCGGTTTTTAGAACAACTTTTTATTCTGAAAAACAAAAAAAGAAGAAAAAACTAGTTTGAAAATATATTTTCTGTTATCTGTTTTTAAAAATGAAAAAAAATTAATAGTCGTTCTGCAAAACTAAAAAACTAGAACATTTTTTAGATGTTTCGTACTTTTTATTATGCAAAACTAGAGAAAATATAGAAAATGTCATGCTTTCATTAATAATAATTATGTTAATAGAATAAATTATTGTTTCATCCTTTATTTCATCAATTTAGACATGTTTTTTAAAATAATGATTCAAATGGATTTTTTTCATTTTTGTTTCTAAAACTGGTTTCAAAAAACTATTCTACAGAATTGTTTTGATAACAAAAAGAAAAGAAAACAAGACCGTTATCCCTCCACAATGCCGCCCTAAAGGTGTGTTAGCTATACTGTGAAATCAGCCTCCCCCGCAGTGCCCTTCTGGTCTTGAAGCCAAGAGTTCCATACATTCGCTCAAATCCCATGGCCCAAATTGGAGTGGGCTAGCCGGCAAGGAAAATAGACCTGACCAGCCTCACCAGCTGGCGTTACTCAGCTCAGCGGGAGAGCATATGTGTCAGACCATTATATACAATAAGTTGGTTTGAAACTAGACCGTGTGGGACTCTTCGGATCTTTCTTGAGCTTTCTTGTAGTACAGTTTGATATATAATGACCCTCGCTAAATACATGATCTTATTCTGTCATCATCATAAATGCAAACATGAATTCGAAAGATCACAAATTCAGACGTGGAGGATGAGTAGAAATTGGTTAAGAATTACAACATCATATGTTCTAGAAAGCAATATGATGGGAAATTTGAATGTGATGAGATATGAGATCCCAACAGCAATAACCCTTATGCTCAAGGTTATAACCGAGAAAACAACAAACATGAGCACAAGCTTGCAATTTGATAGTTTCATGTGGAGGGAGAAGAACAAAATGGATACAGGTAAAAACTTTTAAAAGACTATAGTCAAGAGGAATACCATGAAGATGCTCAAAAGAAGAAATATTACTAAGAATTCGGATAGGAACTCTATCTATGCAATATACAACAGTTAAGGTGACTTGTCCCCATAAGCATTTAGGACAAGAAGAAGAAATGAGGAGAGCACGGATTAAATTAAGAATATGACAATGCTTTCATTCAGATCGACCATTTTGTTGAGAAGTGTAGAGATAGGAGTCTTATAAGATTGTACCTTGAGCATTAAGAAATTTGAACAGTTTAGAATCACGATATTCTAAGGCATTATCAAGAATAAAAATTGCTAACATTTCTATGTGCTCAATGTTTAATGCAACATTCACAGGCACTAGTTCTTGAGACTTGAGAACTTGACATCAAATTTGTAATGACCTTCATCATTAACCCTTAATTAACTCACTAATAGACAACCTACAACGAAAGGATCAACCATAGCTTTGAAGTTTTTTTTTAAATATAAATGTCAAACTAGAAATTGGGACCCCACATATATAATTGATGAGATAAATAATATATTTCAAAAATTAGAGTGATTGAGAATATGTTAAAATTTTATAAAAATTTCCATCCCCTCCTCTCCAAAACCTCCCCCCTAAATTGGGGGGATCCTCATCTTCCTTCCCCTCCTCTCTCTTCATACCAAACAAAGCTTAAAGGATAGAATAGTCATTTTGGAAACTTGCATTAGCTTGTTGTGGCTAAAAGTTCCCTTGCTGTAACCAACTACGAATTAACACACTCAGTGCAATGCAAATCACCATGACCCACTCGCCATATCTAATAGCTCTACTCACCACAACCATAACTGTTGTTCGCCGCAGCGAATTCTACGTTAACGGCATAGTGAACAACATGTAGAAAGTAACTTCAACCTTATTTAACTAATCACTTGGATCCCTAATTAGGGAAATCCAAGAATCTAAACATAGACAAATTAAATATTTAACTACTACTACCAATTATAACTCAATCCAGTACTAAATAAGGATCCTAGAATGCTATGTGCCAATAACAGTATTCAAGTTCCTTGCATATATACAAGTGTCTCTCCTCAAATATTAATTCATAACATAGGCTTAATTGCAATAATAGATATGCACAAGAATACTATATTTAATATACCAAGTTGAATCAAGTAATAAAGGTTATCAATTATATTAATACATTTGCACAAATGCTTTTCCAACTCTTGGGCCAGAGCATCAGCAACGCCTAAGTTAACAAATAGGTCTAGTAAGTAATTGTTAAATAATCCAAACATGTAAATGAGATATAGCTAACATGTGCAAACCTCTAATGTTAGAAATAATAAGTATTCAAATATACAAACTACAAAGCTAAAAGCTTTACTAAAGAATTAAGCTTCTCTAGCCTCTGATGCTTCCCCTTTAGCCATGTACTTAGCATTTCCTCAAAAGTATTAAACAATGAGAGTGAGATTATATAATTTCAGTAACTAAGGCACATAAATTCAAGTACATAAAAGTGTAGCAAATACAAGCACATAAGGTGAAGATTTACATTTTTCATGCTATTAATATAACATCCTAAGTTTTCAAATTAGGAATTATCAATGTTTCTAAGGGTATTTTTGGTTAATTTAGATAAATTATTGATTAATGATGTTTATAGGAGACTAATATAATTTTTGGATCCTTGGACAACCTTAGAATAAGGCTAGGTCAATATTGAGCAAGCCATGGCACAAAGATAAATTCAAAGAGAGTCTTGAGATCCTTGTTCCATGCGCCACGGTGGATGTGTCAATACGCCGTGGCACATGTACAAATTCTATACTTATCAGATCGCGAAATCAGACTTAAAATCAAAGGAAGAAAGAAGGAAAATGAGAGAGAGCAATGAAGAGGAGCTCGTGACTGCTAGGGCACGACCTTTGGATCACTTTAGATGCATTTAAAGCTTGAATCATTATTGGGTAAGTTCCACATTTTCTCTCCTCTCTCTTTATGTGAAAATTCTAACTTTTGGGGCAATGGGGGCTTCGATCTCAATTTTCTTAGATTTAGACCAAATCTATTAGCTTATTTAAGGTTTTGGGGAGTTAAATCAAGACTCTAACCCGAGGTTTATGAGTTTTATGGTGATTTAAAATTTTTGTTGAAGGTTTGAATGAACCCTAAGCATAATTTGAGAGTTTTTGAATACTGTGAATAATTGAATGGTGATAAGGAATTTGAGTGTTATGAGTACTTAGAACTTAGTGAATTTGGGGTTTATCTGGAGTGATAATTGACAATTATCACTTGATTGTATAGATTAAGTGTTGCTCAAGTTTTATTGTGCATATAGAATGTGTAGAGCTAACGTTGAATCACGGTAACCCTTTTGTGTGATAAAGGGTTGAGGTAAAGGATAATTTATACTAATTGATTATAT